TTTCATCTGAAAGTGGCTTCTCGAGAAATTCGCTGATTAGTCGAACGTTACCACGAAGATCCTGAAAGGTAAATGGGTTTTTAAGGAAATCATTACAAGTTTAGACTTGTGCAAAAACTCACTATTTATTTACAGGGGTTTATGGTTGCACAGTATTCGCTCCCTTACTGCTAACAGTCTCGGATTCGCGTTATAATGGTCGGACTAGTGAAGGTTGATCTTATGTGTTTGTAGTCCAACTAAAACAAAGATGAGTAAAGCATGAAAATAGCTGACCTTCTTTAAATCTTCATATTTGAGAAATAAGACGTGAGGTTCGCCTCTATGTTTCCACCAGGGTAGCACGTGATCAGACCAAAAGCCATATGAATCTGCAGGAATTGATTCAAATTTACAATCATTTCATTTGATCACAGATATCTAACGGTTTATGGAATTTTCGCCCTATTTCAAGTTCGCTCTCCAACCTCCTTTGCGAGTTCGCCCCCTGAAGTGACACAGGTTTGCACCCACCTTTCCCAGCTCGCGCTTAGACCTTCCAAGATAATTTTTGTTTTATCAACCGAGTTGATATATAAATTGGCCACCGTAAAGAGTTTCAAAGCTGACGTTTCGCGCGTTAGCCCTTTGTTTGTTTTGTTGTTAGAGCGAATGACAAATGGTTTGTCTTTTGCTCTGACGAAGGGCTAACGTGCGAAAAGTGAGCTTTGAAACTCTTTACGGTGGCCAATTTACATTATCAACTCAGTTGATAAAAACAAATAAATTTTCTTGTTATATACTACCACACCGAAGCAGCCCCACAATTTCTTCAGAAACTAAATCATTCAACACGTTTTCTTGAGGCAGAACGCATTGTTTTGCTGTCGAAATCATCGTACCTTTGAAAGATTTGGGGGCGAACTGATAAAGGTGGGAGCGAGCTTGTTTTTCCTCAAGTGGCGAACTTGCCGAGAAAGTAGGAGGCGAGCTCGCAATGCCGTCAAACTTCCGCTTAGCTTACAGCGAAAACTATTTCCAACGAATAAAAATCCTTACTTTTGCCCTCAAGAAACAACTTTACAAAGAACTCCCACGTCCCATTAAAGTAACTGCTAGGGCCAAAGCTTAGGACGAAGTGATAATATGAAACAGCAACGTCTCTTGGATTTCTTGCCACGTAAATATACTTGCTTCTTTTGCTCTCCTCTTTACTCATTGGAATCACATGATAAGGAAGATGTGACCTAATTAAGCGTGGACTGGGCCGAGAAGTCACGGAGACCTTCTGTCCGTCTGACTCGTCTTTAGGCCTATCGAAAAGTTGATTTTTTTCCAAAAAGGGATGGCGACTTTCCATCCTTTCTTCGCTGATTTTTCCATCGTTGAATATTTGCCAGACAATTTCTTGCACCCAGGTTGTTCCTGAAAAAAGGAAAAAAAAGTTTAGTCCAGGATAGATCTC